GGGTGATGGGGAAGCTCCCAGCTACTCCAGCCCTGCCAGGAGGGGGCGCTGTAGGGAGTGGGGCAGGAACACGGGTGATGGGGAAGCTCCCAGCTACTCCAGCCCTGCCAGGAGGGGGCGCTGTAGGGAGTGGGGCAGGAACACGGGTGATGGGGGAGCTCCCAGCTACTCCAGCCCTGCCAGCAGGGGGCGCTGTAGGGAGTGGGGCAGGAACACGGGTGATGGGGGAGCTCCCAGCTACTCCAGCCCTGCCAGCAGGGGGCGCTGTAGGGAGTGGGGCAGGAGGGCTGGCACGAGGGGAGGTCCCAGGGACCCCATTCCTGACCCCCTCCCACATTATCACTGCTCCACCGTATGAGGGGGCTGGTGTCTGGGGGCCCCGAAACCTGGCCCAGCTTTGCCTGGTTTAGGTAAGAGCCCCGGTGCAGAGGCTGCTCCAGGCAGGGGCAGAGGGGACTTAGAAGGGGTAAAAGTTAGCCCAGGCCTGAGGCTGGACAGGCTCCTGCAGTTGTGGAGAGTGGAGGCGAAATCTGCCCAGCGCCCTACTCCGGGGGTCCCTCGCCCCCTATCTCAGCCCTCCCGGCCCCAGCGAAGCGCCGCACCCCAGCCCTGGCTACGTACGGAGGCGGCGGGGGCGGCGAAGGCCAGGCTGAGCAGCATCAGGAGAGGGATCAGCTCCTCGTTGGTCTCCACGTACGGCATGGACAGGGCCCGGTCGTGGCACTGGAACCCCACCTTGGCAGGCTTGAAGAGGTCGGTCAGCTCCAGGAAATAGAGCGTCACGATGGAGGAAGCCACGATGGGGAGCTGGGGGAGGGGAAAGGAGGAAGCAGCCGGGGGGAGGCAGGAGCATGGTTCAGTGGCTCAGGTTCATGCCTCTGCCTCGCTAGAGCTATAGACCTGCCTCCAAAGGGCCTGAAAATCGCATCATAATCACTTCTTAAGGCAAGTCACCACTCCCGTTCCGGGGCTGGAAACAGATCTCAGGAGCCGCGGCTCCCAGTCACCCTGCTCTAACTACTACACCGCACTCCCCTGCTCCTATCACTGGAAACAGACCCCAGGCGTCCCGGCTCCCAGTCACCCTGCTCTAACTACTACACCGCACTCCCCTGCTCCTATCACTGGAAACAGACCCCAGGCGTCCCGGCTCCCAGTCACCCTGCTCTAACTACTACACCGCACTCCCCTGCTCCTATCACTGGAAACAGACCCCAGGCGTCCCGGCTCCCAGTCACCCTGCTCTAACTACTACACCGCACTCCCCTGCTCCTATCACTGGAAACAGACCCCAGGCGTCCCGGCTCCCCGCTCTAACCACTGTACAGCACCTGTCACACCTGGGCTCCAGTCTCCAATGTAAATGAGGAACAGACCCTCTGCCTGGTTCTTTCCTCCCCCTAGGCCTAGCGTCTCTTCTCGTTCCTCCTGGCCCAGAGGGGCATGACGGCCAGCCCCGAGTTACCCACCCTCGCCCCCTGCCCACACTCCTGCGTGTGGCCCACTTTGCAGGGAGCGTCTCCAAGGGCAAGATTTTCATAGAGACTGAGACAGAGGAGACGGGCCAGGCAGCCGCATGCCCCAGTTCTCAGACACGCGGCCCCCCTGCAGCGTGAGACAGGTGGAAACAGCTTCCAGAGTACGGCCCTGCCAGGGCTCCCCCCGACCAGTGAAGGACAGGCACATGAGCTCTCTTTGCACCCGAATCCAAGAAAGGAGCTTGCTGGGCGCGTGGCCAGTGCACACTGCACTACGGGGAGCTTGCTGGGCGCGTGGCCAGTGCACACTGCACTACGGGGAGCTTGCTGGGGGCGTGGCCAGAGCACACTGCACTACGGGGAGCTTGCTGGGCGCGTGGCCAGTGCACACTGCACTACGGGGAGCTTGCTGGGCCTGTGGCCAGTGCACACTGCACTATGAGGAACTTGCTGGGCCTGTGGCCAGTGCGCACTGCACTACGGGGAGCTTGCTGGGCGTGTGGCCAGTCCACACTGCACTACGGGGAGCTTGCTGGGCGCGTGGCCAGTGCACACTGCACTACGGGGGGCCTGCTGGGCGTCCCGGGAAGCAGTGTATAAGATACGCCCAGGATCAAGCTGCCTCATCTGCTGCCTCCAAGCAGAGGGGGGACAAAGACAAATAAAGCCACTTTCGGCTCCTCCCTCCAGGCCCCCTGCACAGCAAAGGAGCAACTGGGAATCAGCTCCAGCAAGTGACTCAGCCCCAGAAAGGCGACTGGACTCTCGTCCTGCCCCTCGGCGCCCACCCTGCCCCGCTGGAAACGTCCCCACCCACCTCCACAAAGTAGAAGCACGGAAGGAGCGTCATGCTGTCCTTGGGGGCCTTGGACTTCTCCTTCGGGGAGATCATGGTGTCCGCTCAGGGGGCAGGCGACAGGAGCTCGCCTGGGTCAGTCTAGGGCCGGAGACACATGGCAGTGTTAGTTCAGTGGCACAGCGGGGGAGGGAGGGGGGCTGTCTATGGGGCGA